TGTGGGGAAAAAGGGGCTGCACCATTTCTCATCATTGCCAGTGGGAGTCACAAATCTCAGATTTCACAGTCTCAGTTTAGATTCAGTACTTGAGTTGAAGCAGAAGGCAGACCTGGGCTATTTTCTGAAGCACTGAATCAGGGCCCAAGCTGAACCTTGTATCTGGGCCATCCTGCCCTGAGGAGCATGCAGTTTAATTTCAGAGAGCCAACAGGAGGGAGAAATATATGTTAGACTGAACACTGAGAATATACAAAGGAATATATGTGTTTTTTTGCATTCCAAATGTATCCTATGGAAAATGGATGAAAAGCAAGACAAAAATACCAGTTTGGCAAATACTAAGGAGGGATCTTGGTGAATGATTCAGGAAAAAGCAGAAAGTCATTACTTAAACAGGAGCCAGGAAACTCAGAACTATACAAACAATTACTAAACAAGGTTGAATATTTGGTTTCAGCATATTCACAAATAAACCCTTTCTATTATTAGACCAACTATGGAGGATCCATAGAACTCAACAGAAATATATTAATAATTTTGCCTTTGGATGTTGCTATGGCCAACAGAAATGCTATTGAACAAGGTTCACCAGTGAATGGAATGGGTGGAAACTGGACCCAGCACATGGAAAAGATCCTTTCAGAGATTTTTTGGAGGTTTTGTTTTTGTTTTGTTCTTGGAAAAGAGAGTGAGAATGAGAGAGCACAAATGTGTCCAAGTTTGGAAAATTTCTCTGGTGGGTGGCAGAATCACCCAGGTGCTCCCTCTGGGGAATGTGGCTTTGCGTTATCTGCCTTGTTTGCAGCCAGTCTGTACATGCATGCACACCAAATGCTCTCAGCATCACAATAGCTGTACAGACACGCACGTACACACTCACTCATCACAGCAGTAATGCCCAGAGGCTGGATATAAATAAATTGAAAGTCTTTCCCCCACTAATTCCATCAGTGAGATCTCAGGCAGCATACTAATAGGAGCATCTGTAATACCGCAGAGAATAAGCGTGGCTCGCGCATTCAGGACCTACATAGAAGTTGCCTTTTCCCTTGCCCAGCCGAGGCGGGGCCCTCTCTCAGTGGCAGAGCCCCTGCTTTGCAGGCAGAGCCTCCTTTTGTGCCATTCCTTCTTCCCCAGGGAGAAGTGAGTGTGCCATGATTGTCTCATCCCATGTGAGGAGACCTGCCCTGGACGATTGACAGTTTGTGCAGCCTCTCCGTGGGATTCTGCATCTTTGCCACACTCTGGAATCCCCAAGAAAGGGAATCTATAGGTCAGTGCAGGTGATGGTCTGGCTTGAGAATGGTGCAATATCAAAAGGATGGGTTGCAACAGCTGTGGAAAGCTAAACAAAATGTGTACACCCCATTCCAGACATTGCTGCTGGCTGCTTTTTCTCCATTTAATCTGTAACTTCTTCTGCAACAATGATAGGGATGTATGAGGATTTCATTTCTGCTTGCAAGACATTAGAAGGGGCCCCATTCAAAATCCTGAATGCAAACATGCGAGCAATTCCAGAGAAGGGGTTTGCACCTTTCTAAATTTGCAAGCCAGTTTGAAAAGTGTGCATTTGTCCTGGTTTGCTGAATGAAAGGAAAGTGTACATTTGGGGTTGTCCTTTTTTCCGATTGAAAAAACACATTTTCTCTCAATATTTTTTCTAAAGAAAGAAAGAAAAAGAAATAAGCTTTTCTCTGGGAACATAAATGTGGTAAACCAAGCTTCAAGCACACTGACAAGCTCATGTGGTTGCTTGTTTGCCTATTACTCAATAATGATGAGCATTTTGCTAGTTAGTAATAATCCCTTGTCTGTGTCATGAGCCTAGAAACAAAACACAGCCATGCTCACACCTTGGGAACTGGTTGATTGCCGTTAATATGGAAACCCTCCTCTCTAGCAGTGAAGCTGAGTGCGGATGTCAATGTGCTGAGAGCTGGGAGAGACCTGTGCTTATAGGGTCAGAATGACCTGATGGCAGAGAAGCCTGCTGATGTGGTGACTAATCCTGTTCTCATGAGAGCTTGCAAGTGCATGCATTTTGTGGTGGTGGTGGTGACACCTGCGGATAAAAAGAAGGGAGTCTGCAGGATGTTCTCAGGCAGCTGAGTTCTGATCACCCCCTCCTGCAAAGTATACAGCCCAGAATGTTTTCCTGTCCTGCAGGGAACTAAGGAGGGTTCTGCAATGGTGTCATTTCAGCCTCTGCAGTTTTCAGAAGTCAGCATCAAGTCAAGTTGTGGGGGTTTGGTATTGCTGAATGCAGTTCTGACTCAGGAACTAAATGCATTCTGTGGTTGGTGCAGGGAATCTGTCTGCAGCTCCCATCCCTCTGCCTTTCAGCCAGCCAGGGGTCCTTTCCAGACCAGGGATCTGAGAAGCCATGGAGGGATGGGGCAGGGGGAATGGGGCTGTGCTGCTATCTGAGGGATCCCCAAAGTCCTCAGCCCCTCCTCCTCATGAGCAGAGGAAATCCTTGCCTTGGGTTTGGTGCACCCAGCCCTCCAAATCCAGAACATTAAGGGCAGCCACAGTGGATGGCACCCTTAGATGCTTGTTGTCTCTGAAATATGCATTTAAATGAGTATTTCCTATCAGAATACAGATTCAGGTGCATATTTTGATATGAATGTGTGAAGCAGCAAGTCCTTAGCAGATCGCAAGCATCCCTGCTGCCACATGGAAGCTGGTGCATATTGCAGAGTGTGAGCTTTGAAATATAAACATCTTTTCGGAGCATATACCTTTTCCTCCCATTGAGAAGGATGCATCTGTGAATTTAAAAAATCCATTATGATTGTGATTGTGATTAATGTTAATCATGCACAAGACTCAATATACTGCCATTAGCTGTACTCGAGAGCTGATTTAAAAGAATCCCTGATGTCCTTGTGGAGATGGCAATATTGCAACAGTAGCTCATGCGCTGCTATTTTGCTATTTCTATAAAGAGATCGGGGCTGAGCTGGTTGCTCCTCTGCTGTTGCCTATTCAAGGGTGACCTGTTTCTGCATATGTTTCCTCCCTTTTAGCAGATCAAGACAATCAGGTCATGATAAAAACTGCTAGATTCCTAGACGATGCTATTAAAATAAGATCTACTTTTGTTTCAGAGCTCTAACTTCTATAAGGTTCCGAGAGGTTTTGTACAATGAATTATCCAATAACTTTGGTACTGGTATCAAATAATGTAAATCACAGAATGGTTTAAGGTAATTTTAGCTTAGTACATTTTTTTTATTTCTAATTAATTTTAATTCTATACTGCTCAATATCCATAGCTCTCTGGGTGGTCTACAACAACAAATAAAGTACAACATTAAATACAGAGAACAATAACAAATCATTAAAGTTATCCCATAAAATTTTAAAACCAAATTTAGAACACACATAACAAAACCTACAATAGCTTATGCAATATATCAGCTAACATCTGCCCCATCATGACAGCAAACTAAGAAAATGTCTTGCGGTGGAGGAAGTTGGTACAGGCAGGTCTCTGTGGGGAGCTTTTTCTGTAATTAGATCTACATGTGTTTGCCATGTGCCATGTGTGTTCTGAACATGTTCTTCTTGCCCCCAACTGCATTGCAAGCTTGAAAATGTGTGGAAGTCCACCCCACGATGGCTTTTGAGCCATTGAGGTGAGAACTGGAAGGATTCTAGTAGGAAATGAACCGGGATGAATGTTTCATGTATCCTTTGTTTGGAGCACCTGGGTCTCCCAGTCATAAGCACCCAAGGCTAGCTTTTGCTATAGCACCTGATTTGGCCTATGGGTAGGGGCTGCTCCCACATGCGCACGTGTGAATGCCAGGAAGTTACTAAAACCTGAATAGGAGGTGAGCTCTTCCTAGGGGTTTATGTTAATGAGGCGACCTGTTAGCAACAAACAGGTACGTGAGAGGGTGCCTTGCAGAAGTGGATCATGACCTCTTTTCCTGTGCAGTGGAGGGCAGGATGTGTTTCAATACAGCAAAGCTCAGGGAACCAAGATTTAGGGTGGATGCTAGGAAGTACTTCCTGACAATTAGAACCCCGAGGGTATGGAATGGGCTTCCACAGGAGGTGGTTGAAGCCCCATTGGTGAGGATGTTCAAGGATAGGCTGGAATGCACATGGTAGGCATGCCAAGAGCAGAGCCAGCTGGACCCAGAGGTGAGACTAGATGGCTCAGGAAGCCCCTTCTGACTCACTCTGTTTCTATGTGTCTATGTTTCTATTTTGTAATAGCTTCCTTACTGATCTTGTTAAAACAGTCAATCATTTGTTGATATTCTCTTGGCTTTCCCTGCTGTTCATTTCTGCCCCTGCTAATGATTACAAAGGGAAGAATTCCATCTTGGAATCCAGAGAAGGAGGGAAAAGAAGAGAACACAGGTTGTAGCAGCACAATGAAAGAATTTTAAAGCTCAGATGGGCAGCCCAATTGAAGGTATCTGCCAATGGAACAGCCAATTGGCTAACATACATGGGGATTATTGCTTCCTAGTGCCCTTTCTTTTGTGTAGCCACGTATCTGATCAGGATGCAAAATTCAGACAAACCCACGCTTACTAATGTCCTTATCTCAAAGGTCATCATGACTTGAATCAGTTTCAGATTGTATGTGCTGTTTTTCCTTTTCACATAAAGCTTTTATTTTCATTTAAGTATTTATCTTCATGCATCTTTTTCCAAATGTATGCATCGAATGTGCACACTCTGAAATGCAAACTTTATTCTTCTGTTGATTTAAGTGTGTTTGTGTGCATTTTTCAAATATACGCCTGCCTTTGAACACTATTTTGGTGGGGGCAGAGGCTGCAAATCACATTGCAAATCCTTTGATCACAAATAGAATCCAAGTCCATATTTGCTCTGGAAACTGTGAACTGGGTAAATCTTGATGACAAACAAATGAAACAGATTTCTCATTCATTTCTAGTCAGAATTTAACCCAATTCCAATGTGGTGCTTTTTCAAATTAAAATTTCCACTTTTTTTGCTTATAGGGCCTACAAATTGGGACTTGGGAGCTGCAAGAGATGGGAGCCAAGTTCTGCCTCGGACTCCTTGTTCTGCAGCTTAAATCCTTGCCGTGCCCCAAGAAGGTGATGACACAGGCAGAGGCTCTGCTGGACCTGGAAGAAGAAATGGCAGATCTCCGAACACAAAGGTCAGAATAGCAATTTTTTTGGAACATGACCACTTTTGGTTTTTGTGGGACCAGATGTTAAATGTTTTTTCCCATAATTTTTATTTGATATTATAGCAATTTTACAGTACTTTTGGTGGTGACTATAATACCCAGTTTAAGAAAGGAAAGCAGTGGAAGGGTTTTCATTTTCATTACCTTAATATCTAACAGTTGAGGGTTAAGAAAGAGTATCACCCTCGTGCGGCTGCTTTCATAATGTTCATGTTGGGATCATGCCCTTCAACATTTCAAAGATAGATGTAGCGATAATATATCAATCTGTTACAGGGTTCAGAACCCAACCACACGGCCCAGTGGACATGATATGCCTCAAAGAGTCCTTGGCAAGTGAAAGTGCATAATACGTGCTTCCATCTCTGGTCTCTTGACCAAAATGCTTCTGACGGACAAAGAAGGGCTCATCCTTTTGTGCATTTCTTTTGCGTATATGTGTGGTGGTGGGGGCAGAGGGGAGTCATTTGTGGAAAATGCGGTATGTGGGATGGTCCCTTACATTTCTCTGTTCCCCTCAGAACAGTCCCATCTGCATCCCTTATCTTGCTAGACAAAGCATTGAATAGGGTCCACACTACCTTGGAAATGATATAAGAAGCCTGTCAGCATTTCTGCAATTCAGGTGGCATGGTCTCATTTCATAGGTGAGGCACACCGAGCCATGGCAATAGACATCCAGCCCAGTAAGCGCACCTTCCATAGGCACAAGGAACAACTTAAATTCTGATGGTAATAATAAGAATAGTGATGATGTTGATGTATTCCTGCCCCCTGAAGCCCCAGCAAGATGAAGGTATGCATGATAGTAGTCTGTATTTTTTGCAGAAGGAGACATGGCTTGATAGATTTTCAGGTCCCTGTGCATTTGTATAAATAAATGTGTGCTAGAAATAAAATCTTGGTCTAAGTGACCATGAAGTGAGATTGGATTGTTAACGGTGTCTGGTGTTCAAGATTATAGAAGGGACTCAGATCTCCTTGTGAAGCTTGCCAAAATTCGATGAAGGACCATATATCACATCCCTCTCTGACATCATAGAGCTAGTTAGCCAAGTTCCCTTATTCTGAGACCTCTTCCTGTTCTCACCTGGGGTTCTGCCCAGCTCATGTGAGGGCAGAGAGGGGATGTGCGCACTCAGCAAAGCAGCCATTCTTGCTGCTCAGAGCAGCAGACCTACTTGACCCCAAAGCTTGACCCTTGCTTTGGTCATTTTAGGAGGTCTTCCTGGATCAGTTCAGGCTTATTTATGCGAGGAGGAGTCCTTGCTTGGTGTGGTCACACTTCCTGCAGCAATCTCCATTCCTAAGAGCAGCATGGTGTTACCTGGATCGACAGTTTCCTGGTCTTGCCTCAGATCCACCAGTTCAAGCCTGGAAGAAAGGTTCAAGTCTTTGTCAGAGTTAGTTTTAACATTCTGCAGCACTCCATGTCATACCTCCCAGCAGAGGAAATGACATTTCCTTCAAAGTTGCTGGCCTGAAAGGTCTACAAAGAGCGCTGCTGTTTCATGTAATTACTTGGGCCCAGCTATTTGACCAGGAAGAAGGGTTCCTTGCAGTCTGATCACACAGGGACACCTACTGAACGAATAATGAAGAATACTTCACATAGCAACATGCATCAGCAAATGCGTTTGCTGTCGCATGTTGCCATGATGGCCACCATTTTGGATGGCTTTAAAGGAGTTAGACAAATTCATGGCAGATAAGGCCACGGACAACTGCCAGTCCTGATGAGGTTATGTTAGCTCCAGTGGCAGAGGAACTATGCTGATGTATACCAGTTCTTGGGGAACACGAGCAGGTAGGTACTGTTGCTGTCAGGTCCTGTTAGGTTTGTTTCTACTGAACCCACTGCATGGAAAGAACGTTGGACAAGATGCCCCCTTGGTCTGATTTAGAATGGCTCTTTTTATGTTCTACTGTTCTCAGAATAGTGGAGAAAGAAGGTATGACAATTGGGAAAGAACGGCAGATACTGTAATGGGTCATCTGTTGAGGTTGCCTTTCTCATTTGTTTTCCCAACACAGGAAGGAAGTTCCACCCCCACCCCTCCAGTAGTAGAAATGCCCCATAATTTATGGTGGTCCCCACCCCCTGTTCAGGAATGCTTTAGCAGCCATTAGCAGCCATCTTCACACTATATTCACACTCTTGCTTATTCCTTTATTCCTTTATTTCATTTTTGTGGGCAGTTAACAAAAATTAAAAACACACATACAAGAAAGAGAAGGAAAAAAAATTAACATAAGACAAAACCACAGCATTTGCAACTGAATGAGCACACAGATACAGGATGAAATGCAATATTAAAACTAAAGTTAAAAAATAATCTTTAAATTACCAGGGAAAGGTTTTCACCAGGTGCCAAAAAGAATCCAGAGTGGGCTCCAGGCACACCTCTTTGAGGAGTTTGTTCCATAACCAGGTGCCATGGCCAAAAAGGCTCTTTTCCTGGTTGCCACTCTCCTTACCCTCTTTGGAGGGGCTCCTGGAGAAGGACCCCCAAAGATGACTTTAGGATCCAGGTGGTTACATATGGGACAAGGTGTTCCTTCAGATAATCTGGCCCTAAGTCATTTAGAGCTTTGGATGTTAAATGCTAGCACTTTGAATTGGGCTTGGACTTCAGCTGGCAGCCAGAGCAGGTGGAGCAGGACTCTCGTAATATGTTCTTATAAGCTAGTCCCCATTAACAAACTTGCTGTTTTGGATCAGTTGAAGTCCCAGGACCATTTTCAAAGGCAGCACCACCTACAGTGCACTGCAGCAGTTCAAATGAGAGGCTACTGGAGCATGGATAACCGTAGCTAAGCCCTGTCTGTCCAGATAGATCGATAGATTGGTATATCGGCTTAAGCTGAACAAGGTGTTCCATGCCACTGAGTCCACCTGTGCCTCAAGTGACTGTTCTGGACACAGGAGCACCCCCAGACCTTTAGGGGAAGTGCAGGGGGAATGCAACCTGAACCAGAACTGGTTGAATATCAGCCAATAGGACTGATGAATCACCCACTAACAGCACCCCCATCTTGCCTGGATCAAGTCTCAGTTTGTTGGCTCTCACCCAGTCCACTACCATGCTCAGCACTGATTCAGAGCGGCCCCAGCCTTGCCTGGGTTGGATGAAAAAGAGGTAGAGCTGAGTGCCATCTGCATATCGGTGGTACCTCAGCCCACACCTCTGGATAACCTCCCTCAGTGGTTTCAGGTAGTTGCTAAATTGCATAAGGGATAAAATAGAACCCTGTAGTACCCCATGGAATAACTGCCATCATTTTAAAAATGTTTGTTGAGGGGAGTAGGGGAAATAGCCTTTAAAATAGAGACATTTCTTTAGATTAGTCATGCTCTCTTGTACATGTGAGCATAGAAATGAAGCAATTACTGTGTGTTCCAAACACCAACTGTGCCACAGACAGCTGCCTGACAAGCATTCTCCATGTCATTAAAACCACCCATTCAAGCTTGGCCAGCTAGAGGGTGTAAATCAGACCCTGACTTTGGAATGGAGCTGCAAATGCCTTTAAATATTCCAAAAACTGACAAAGGGGAGAAATTCAACAATGGAGAATGTTCTGGGCACACCGTGTAGGGGTGTGGAAAGGTCAAACTAGTGCATGGTGAAAAGGAGCCCACACTAATTGACAGCAGAATTAAGTCCACCCATATCACAGGCTTCTGTCTCTGCCCAGAAATGTGCCAATGTTCAACTATTCTTTATCTGTGTATCCTGTTCTGTGGATTTGAATTGATCTGAAGAGTCCTGGGTAAGGTGATTGGAGAGCAAGAGGTGCTTAAAAGGAGCAAGAAGGTGTGTTCAAAGACCGGTCCTTTTGACCAGCTGATGTTGAAAAAGAAAGCATTCCATCAATCCATACTGTGTGCTGGTATTTCCACAGAGTCCATAGCAAGAGCTGTGTGGCGGTCACATAATTCACTGGGGGAGCGCATGTTTTACCTGCCACAGACCCTGGGTTCAGCCGAGGAATGGTGCAGAAAGGACCCATCCTAAAACTTGGGAGAGCTGCTGCCGGTCCGTGTTGTTAATTCTGGGCTAAATTGCCAGGCTGGGGATGGGGTGGGTTCATGTGGGTTGTTGCCCTCCCCCAGCAGGCCATTCACACACGCCTCAGCTACAGAAGCAACAAGAAGATGCTGACTGGCCCCTCATTGTTCCTTCCCCCACTTTCCCCTGAGTGGCACCTTGGTTTATGTCATGCGGTATCATCAACGAGGACTGGCTGCAGTTGCTCAGGGGTGCAGAGAGGAATTTGTCCAGTTCTCCCTGGAGGTGAACTTGGGATACAGCTGGGGCCTCTCTGCATGCAGAGCATATGCTCTGCCACTGAGCCACAGACTGTCTGCCACGGGTGTCTGCATGTCCTGTTTTTCTCCAAGGAGAATCCTCTGTAGGGAGGGATGTCCAAAGACAGCCTTTTGTCTAAACACCCCATCAGTTTGGAGGGCTGCCTCGTTTTTGCCCTTCAAAGGAGAAGGAACCAAGGAAAATGGGGAGGCAGCTGTCCTGATGTGGCTTGCCCACAATTAGGCGTGAGTAGCATAACTGAGCAGACATGCAGTGATAAAATGTCTCATACATCTATTAAATCATTTATAGATGTTTATCTGTAATTATTTCTAAATCAGCACATGCAAATTCATGAAAATTGGTCCTCATGTTTGTTGATGCATCCTTTATTTGGCAATGCAAAAGGAGCCACCGCATATATACCCCTGGAGTCTTTTTATCCTCCGTCTTAATAGAAACGTTCCTTTATACTCGATTTGCTGATGTGTCCCAGAAGTACCTCTCAGCCTAGCAGCAGTTCACCAGGACAGCGGTTCCCAAACTTTTTCAGTCACTGAACCTTTCTGAAGACACTTTTCTCCCCACAGAACCCTAACTCTATCCCGGATTATTAGTAAGCATTGTGGACCCACAATGTTCTTCCTTCTTTCA